GTTGGTGCGCTGCCAACGGTCAATTGCTTCATGTCCCGGTTTGTTGCATAACCGGCACTAAGGACGTGAGTGTTTGTGATTGTCATTGGATCGATTTCCATGGGCCGGTGAAGAGGAGAAATTTGAGTTGGAGGTAGGCCTTTGTGAACGATTTACGTTGAGTGCAAGTGTATTGGTGACAACAGGTGACGATGCTGGGTTTTGGGCAGCCTGACGAGTGATTTACTGTTCCAAGCGGAACTCTTCTTGAAGCAACATACCCACCAATTCATCAACAGAGTCATCATCGTTATGAATCATGTAAGAATAAATAAAAGGGCCATAAGAAGAATCAAGACTCGTAAGGATATGTCCAATTAGGTCTTCATTGGATATTGGGTATGAATTCTTAGCAAGAGAGTCGGCTATGGCCTGTTTATGCTCGACATACTCAAGAATAGAGGATGAGCCCTTTGAAATTGAATGAAGATCGGCCTTCATAGTCATGTGACGAGCCTTAGTTTGGGCATGAAATGTCTTGTAGATGGCTAACCAGGCTTGTTGAGAGGACGAGCACCTAGCGACGATTGCAAGAGCCTTCTCCAAGAGGTTAGACTTGATCTAGAGAAGTACAAAACTGTCACACTTCTTCCATAGAGTGTACTCGGATTGGGATTGGAAATGGTAATCCCTTCGGCGCTGGTGGTAGAAATTGTTGCAGCAGGAGGAGTGGGAGAGAGAACGAAGTCAACTAGGTCGAAGGTGGTTAGGGCAGAGAGGATTGTGGAACGCCACAACGAGTAATTTTCCCTTTCGAGCTTGATACTGATCGAAGGGATCTGGAAATTAAGGGGGGCTGAGTTGGTAGCGAGGCCAAGAAGAAGAGAGTTGTTAGCCATGGAAGATTGATTCGAGAGGTTTTTGGTGGGGCTCTGATACCTTAGAGGTGCACAGAAGAATTGTATATATTCACTGCATTCAATACATGAGATACATGGGTATTTATATAAAGAGATTACAACTGAAACCTACATATACGGGATACAGTACATACGAAACTTGAGTAGACCAGGTCTACATGAATACACATGTGTTAAATGATTTTTGACCGTTATTAACCTGCAACATGTTAGAAATTGGGGTATAGTAAGTCTTGGAATTATGAGAATTGTGTAAAACACTTTCAGATTAAAGCATTTGGGTGGTACTCCCAATATTCTTTAATCGGATAAGACTCAGAGAGACAAGCATTTAGAATGTTTTGATGATAGTTTCGTATGTACCAGAAATGAGACCAAAACCGACTTTATGATCTTTGTCTGAAAACTGTCATATGACAGTTTCAAACTGTCATAAAACTATAAAACTGACATAAAAACGGAAGTTTGGATAAGGGTCAAACAATGGTCAATTCTCTGAAAATTTGACCCCAGCCAGGGGCTGCTGCCCCTTGGACCCCACTCCCAGGGGCACTGCCCCCGAACCCCCGTTCGTTTAGAGGCTTCGCCCCTAAATGACAGTGTACTTTGAAAACTTGATCAAACTTAAACAAGTGTGTACTCCACACCTTCCTTACTTGTTTAATATTTATCAAGATCACTTTTGGTCAACAAAGTAATCCCATTACACTTAAATAATATTGATGATAACAAATCACCAACACAACAGACACAACTACTTGAGAAGATGATTAATAGAATGTAAAAAACATAGAAAAATGATTTTGTATTGTATGTTAAAGCTAATAAAAGACAAATTCACTTTCTCCAATCATCTTTTCAGCTGAAACCTTCAAAGAATCCCATATACATTGATGTTTCCCAGTAGGAAGCAAAAACAGTTTCAGGCTTTTATAATGCAATCTGTAAAGGAGCATGTTAAGGTCTGTATTATCATAGATTACCCTGTTATATAAACCTTCAAAATTCCTGTTTGTTCTTATTATATATAATTTAAGGAAACACTGAAATAAATGGAAATGTCTCTTAACTTTTATCTATAATAACAACATATTTACAATTTTCTACTTATTATATAGCTACTTTCAACCTGAAACCTCTAAAGATGTAAGTATTACCAAAACCTTTTTCATAATACAATAAAGGTTGTAGTCAACACACATATGAGATGTGATTCTTAACTGCAATCTCATTGCAAACTGGAATACAATTTGGGTTGATGCACAATAACTCAAAGCAATTAGCTTAAATCATAATTCTAAATACAAAGCATTAAGCTCCAAGACTAAAAAACCTAAGTACAAGAATAATTCTTGATGATGGTTAACATTTTGAGGCAAACAACAGATTTGATCCATGTGAGAGGATGTTAGTATACACGAGCCTTTGGTGGGAAAGTATCGACCCCATCATCAAAAGTATTCATGTGATTTCAATCTCTACATATTAGAACATTGTACTTTCAAAATCTACCCAATTATAGCATTATACTATCATTTTTTTTACCAGAGCCTTATAGTTAAAAATCTACCCATCTATATCATTGTACTTCATATTTTTATTCACTGGAACGTTATACTTTAAAATCTACCCAACTATGGCATTATACTTTGGGTAAATTACATGGATGGTCTCTATGATTTAGGGTAATCTGCATGTTTGGTCCCTAACAATTTTTTTTAACTCGGACTGTCCCTAATTTATATTTTTTTTTAAACGCTTGGTAGAGATGGCAACGGGGGCGGGTTTTACAGGGGACCCCAATCCCCATCCCCATCCCCGAATCCTCATTCCAATCCCCATCTACCATATTTAAATATATACATGAGAAATCAAGTAAAAAAAATTATCAGAGTGATATTTGAGGTAAAATAGATGAACAAAATACAAAAAAATTATACATGAGTTTAAATAAGATAAAAAGAAAAACAAAGTATAATTTCAACCAAGTAATTACTAATGAGTTAGGTTACTTGGATAAAATTCTATGTATTGTAAATTGTACTATAAATATATGTTTTGTATTACTTTTATATATTAATATATATCGGGGGCGGGTCCAGGGTCGGGGATTAGGGGTATCCCCATCCCTATCCCCGGTCAACTTGGGGATTCCCCGGTCAAAACGGGTGCGGGTTTCGGGTTCCCCATCGGGTATGGGGCTTTTTGCCATCCCTAACGCTTGGTTCCTATGCGTTCTAAAAAGACTATTTTACCCTTAATAATTTATTATTTATTATTTTACCTTTTTATATTAATAAGATATTAAAAAATAAAAAAAAATTAAAAGAAACCCTAAAACCCTAAGCAACACCTCCCCAACCCCTCTTTGGCTCCTTGTTCACCCCTCGTCTTCCATCATCACCATTCACCAGCTGTATCACCGGTCAGCTGAATCTTCAGTGACCCCAACAACGTCATACATGGCTGGTGAACCTTTCATCTCTTCCCTCTCTTCACTCGTGGGATTAACCTATCTCTGTACTCCGCCTCTATTTATTTCACTTGAAAGCAGACGACACCTAAAACTCCAATTGTCTCACTTTCATTTTCCGCCACCATCATCTATTGCCAGTGCCACCAGAGAAGGCGGAGGTGAAGCATACACTCGAATCTGACGAGACAATATAAACTTGAGCATTGGCCTCTTTCTCTGTCTCAGACTGTAAAGCATGCTATTGAACCAGAAGTGACAAATACAATAGATTTCATGATTGATTTCAGTTCCGGCGCCCAAATCGACACTACAACACCGGTTAGGTTTGATTTCTGGTTCAATTTTCAGTTTAAGGTTTTATAAGGTTTGATTGAGTTCCAGGTTTGAATTAATTTTCACATTCAATTTTTGGTTTAATTTCAGTTTCAAGTTTGAATTCAAATTTGATCTTGAGTTTTGGGTTTGATTTCAGTTTCAGATTCGGTTTTAGTTTCAGTTTTAGGTTTGCATCCTAGATCAATTTAAGGTTCAAGTTCCATTGATTTGGGTGACTACTAGAATATGCTTCATTATAGCTGGAGAAGACAGTCATGTGGGAGGTGGAGGTGCAACCGGAGAAGACAATGTCAATGTTTGAGATTTTCCGCGACTGAGCACAAGGAGGGAAGGGAAGGTAGGGGATGAGGGTTGGGTGATGTATGTTCTTGAATCAGACAAATTCTTTTTAATTAATATTTTTTTAATTAACTGATAATTTAAAATAGGTAATAGAAATCAGTAAGGATAAATCAGTCTTTTTAGAACGGTCAGGGGCAAGCGTGCAAGAAATATATAAATTAGGGACGGTCCGAGTTAAAAAAAGTTGTTAGGGACAAGCACGCACACAGATTACCCTAAACCACAGGGACCATCCGTGTAATTTACCCCTATACTTTTAAGTTTTTCTCATTATAACATTATACTTTGAAAAATCTACCCAGCCATGGCATTGTACTTTTAACTTTTTCTCATTAGAGTATTTTACTTTGAAAAATCCACCCAACTATAGCATTGTACTTTGAAGTTTCAGTTTTTTTCTTATTAGAACATTATACTTTAACAAATCTACCCAATAAAAGAAGTGAAATTGCTTTGTATCCTAATGCCACTGCTATAAATGGATATATATTTTGTAGTACAATGCTGTAACACAGGAAGAAATGAAAGTAGGATGCTATGATAAACAAACAAACAAAAGTATGTTGCTATTTCATGCATTTAACCCCATTCATATATACAACATGTGCTTGTATATAAAAGAGACAGAGAAATTTACCCCAAGTTTGTGTTTCATCAATTTCTCAGCATCTCTTTTCTGCAAAACCATTGAATTTAAGTGTTCATGAGAAAAGATCAAGAGAAGAGAATGAAACTAAGATGAACGTGCTATAACAAACACCAAATTAATTTCAACCAGAGGGTGGTAATCTTTTCTAAGATTTGCTTTGAATTCATTGGTTTTTCCATTACATTTGAGGGAATCTTTTCCAATCCAGCCAGATTTTGAAAATGAAAAAAAAAGGCCAAAAGTTGAAACATGTTTACACAAATAAAGAAACTTTTAAGCTCGTCGACATATTTCATCGCTAAAGTAGCCACAAACGCTTTTTGAGATATGCAACTGGCACCTGAAGTAGTTGATTGGTTCAACAAATAAGAATTGAGTCATTATTCAACAAAAGATTATATAAAAGGCAAGGTTATTGCTAAAGTAGTTTTTAATTATAAGTCGTTAGCAATGAACAATTAATTAATTTCCACATGGTTATAAATTTTAATTGATTTAAAGTTACTGGCTAGTATACTATGTTAAGGGCAGGGGTAAAATGATCATTTACCCTCATTTGGACGGTTGTAAAAAAGAAACGTTCTTTGTTCATACTCTCCTTACGCAGACATAAATTTGAGAAATGAGAATGACCGTTTACAATCATTCAGTCGAAAAAAGAAAAAATTTATTTAGACGTAAGGGTAAAATGGTCATTCACTCCCATTCAGTAAAAAAAACAATCTTTCTTCATACAATACTTTCTCCAAATCCAAATGCAAGGATAAAATGATTAATTACTCTCATATAGAGAAATAGAAAATTTCACGTGTCATGTCAAAGACAACTTATCAGGAGCATCACGAGACATATGAAAAGAGTTTGGTTAAATAATAAACTTAAACTATTAAATATTAACGATGGTCGATCGCAGTTAGTGCATCTATTGTTTTCATTTTCTTTATTTGTTTAGTAAATAATAACTTAATATCAACCGTTATTATAAAAAAATTGTATTAATATAATTATAATATACTATTTGAAAAAATAAAAATTTGATTTAGCATGTTGAACTAACAACTGAATTGAGAAAGTCAAGAAAACATTAACTTTTTTACAAATTTGAGTTCGTTTCTTTCCTCTTTCCATTTCAAATACTATTTATACATACAACACTTTATCTAGATCAAGTTATATGCAACTTTTAATAATAAGAGAAGAAAGCAAAAACATACTTACAAGTCCAGGTGAACACTTTTTTATAGCTCTGAAAATGTCTGAAATACCATCACTATTCCCATGAGGGAACTAGTTGTATATGTATCTATGTCATGGAGGGAACGAAACAAAATACTAAATGGCTGCAAGAGTACTCAATTCCTTCACCACTTGATGTCTGATTCAAATTGGGCATCGGCTATAACAAAACAGAGTATAAATAATGAATTTTGTTTTAAGCATTCATTTTGTTAAAAAATAATATAAACAGGAATAATAAAATTAATAATAAATTACTTTTTACCTTTTTCAAAAGGAAAATCACTGAAAAAACAGATGAGTTTGCTTCTGTTTGCAAACAGCACATTCACAATTTCTGGTGGCTTTTTTCTGGTTAGTAGGGAACGGCTATTCCAAAAAAAAAAAACACATATTTTTAAAAACAAATATTTGTATAGGAATTAAAAAGTTGAATATTTGTTATATATGTGTATTACCTTGAACAAATGGAAGGCTTCTAGCTGCATGATATTGTTTGAATCCTACAGTGGAAGAAAAATGGTCAAATATTAAAAAAAAAATATATATAAATGTAATAATAATATAGGACGTAATAAATAAATATGTTATGAACCGGACTTATAAGAACAAATTCAATAACATAAAAAAAGCAACCAACAGCTTCAAATATTGATTGATGACCTCAAATAAACCCAAAAGATTACAAGAACAAATGATAGGTCAGCAGATTCGAGATAGCTACTCTCCCAAGGAATAAATTCCAGATTTCACAAAAAGATTGATGCCTCACTCCCCATTCTCACTACCTTTTATACTATCTGACCTAACAAACTAAATAATATAAAATACCTAAATTGCCCCTGAACTAATGAGATTCTCTTTATTTATTGAATTTTCCATATTACCCTTATCTAGCCTATGTGACATAAGTTGATGCATAATGATACCCTCCGAAGATTCATGATAATTCTCATGTTGTCCAATGAGTAAACATATCAAACCATCACAGGGGTATTTGAACGATCCAATAACATTGCTCTTAGCAGCTAAAACATTTTTGTAGACTCTCAGTTTACAATTCAAGAGAATAAAATAAATAAATAAAAAACAATACTAATATAGAAATAAACAATAAATAACCTTCACATCATTTCGTCTAATAATGTAGTTGGGAGATTACACCAATGAGTTGTACTCCTAGAAGAACTGCATCAAAAAAAGTATAATTAATAGAAAAAATTGAGCCAAGCGTTGACATATTTTCATTGGAGGGTTGTTGATCTAACAGAATCTTGGAAATTGAATTTGCAAATGTAGTTCAATTAATCAGTTCTTTAATGTCTTCAATTACCAAAATTAGTTCATACGCAATTGTAGGTGATATATCCACAACTTTTTTATAGCATTCATAAGCTACTAATGTATTTCCAAATGATTCATGCTCAATAGCACGGGCAAGATTTTCCTTTCATGACCTGTGCAACAAAATAAAAATTAAAAAAATATATAAATATGAAATTAGCTGATTTGTTTAGGGAAAATCACAAATAGAAACACACTTATTGAGTTACTCTCTCTACCAGTGTAGGAAATTTACTTAAGTTTATATGTATGGCAACAATGTAACTATGTTTTTTGATAGATAATAGCAATGTACTTTAATGAATAGTAACTGAATTGTTATTATGTGTAACAAAATATAAGTAGGTTGCTATATTGGACTACATATTGCCATTGTGATAAAAACATGTAAGTAGGTTGTTATTACGGGTAAAAAAATTAAGTACATTGCCTATATTGGTTAAAATATGAAGTATGTTATTTCTTGCAATCTGATCTAGATGCATTGATTTCCACAACTGACACCAATTACACTTTAGGAGTTCATCCTTAACTTTTAATCCGTTATGGATTCTAAACTCTCAACTTTTTTTTTCTGAAAATACAAAGAACCACATTAAATTTATTAATCAATAATACTACAAATTTATATGATAGAGTGTAGAAATTGTCAAATGAAAAATAGTACCTAGCACGCTTAATCTTCTGCTCATTCTTCATTGGTAAATGACCTCCATCAAAGACTAAAATAGGTTTAACACCATAATGTCACAACAAATTGACTCGATGCATACAAAAATCAACATGCCTAAAAGATTAAGAACACATAAGTCAGATGGGAATCTATAAAATCAATCACGAAATAATTTTAAGAGATTTCAGATGTTTCAACATACAAATGCTATCCGGAAGACGTTCAATATCTGTATCCGAAAATGTAGCTTCTCCAAACATTTTAACTGGCCAAGATTTTATGGTAAGTTCTTCCTGGCAATAATTTCTACTAAGATCTAGATTCCTGAGTGTAACATCCAAAAATTCATGAAAACTTTAAATTTTTAAAACCATCCCACAAACCATCATTGTTTACAATTTAGTTTTCAACACATGTTTAATATCAACATTTTCCCAAAATCATAAATTAAAACACGAGGAGGTGCTCGATCACGCCTTCGCCTTCCTGCGATCATCTGAGGTACCTGAAACATAACCCAAAACTGTAAGCCCAAAGCTCAGTGAGTTTTCCCCAAAATACCACAACACAAAACCAAAATAATAACAATAAACAACATGCATACAGAGCATTCAGTCTAACTGGAACACCCCACCGGCCTATAGTCTACCTGGTACGCTCACAGAATCTTCAGTATGATTGGTACGCCACATCGGGCCTTCAGCCATCTGGACCGTTCTCCGGGTCTTCGACCTGAGTACGCCCTACTGGCCTTCAGTCTATCCAGGATGCTCTGGGTCTGTTGGCCTTCAACACAAAGCAGGTCCGCCTAAACCCAACCACTCATACACCGTGTCCACACACACACACACATATATATATATATATATATATATATATATATATATATATAACAAATAATCATACACTTAACTAGCCAATAACAAACACAGACAGATGTTACAGATCACTAAGTATAGCATCATCCTATCTACCCGGATACAGATCTAACAGATCACTACGATACTCAATCATGCAATAATCAGGATAATAATCCAAAAAAGCCGGCCTTGGTGCCATCGACCCAAAAGTACAGTGAGGAACACTCACCTCAATCCGCTGATAAACAATTGAATAAATCTCTGGTTGCTGGTCCGGAAAATCCCAGTGCTAACAAAGTCAAAACAACACCCAATCAGAAATTGGGTTCCAATCTATAACCATAAATCCATATTTGGGGTAAAAGATCATTTTACCCCTAACCTAGTTTGGTCCAAGAATAAGGCCCAAACTCACAATCTGAACGGCCCAAAGGCCAATTAATCAACCAAGGCTCAAATATGGCCCAATTTTCCAAATTGGGCCCAAACCCATTACATGGGCCTTACCCTAAAGCCCAACGCTTCTTCCTAGTCCAAAACACTTGTACTCAGATGACCCGTTAATAGAGGTGGCAATCGTGTCGTGTCGTGTCGGGTTCGTGTCGTGTCGAAACACTAAATGGGTTGAAAGTGCTTGACCCTAACCCGACCCATTTAATTAACGTGTCGTGTCGTGTCAACCCGTTTATTTTCGTGTCGAGTTCGTGTCGGGTTTCGGGTTAGGGCTATACCTTGAAATATGTCGTGTCATGTGAGGTTAAAAGATTGAGCATGTTGAAAGAGTAGGAGTTGGGTAGGCGGAAAGGAAAAACTAATAGTTTGGAGGCAGAATAGATGAAGTCATAGCAAGTTCAGATGACAAAATTAAAAGAGTGGGAGTTGGGGATGCGGATGACAAGGTCGTGAGGATATGAGAGTGGTGAAAGAGACTGGGTAGTTTGGGAGAGAATGGAAAAACTGAAATTAAGTCTTGATCTAGACGGCTAAGTCATTTAAACATTACAAAACCACTCAATTCGAAGGTTTTCTTTTACTTATGGTTTTTGGTTTTGTATCTTTATAGTTTATTTAAATAATACAAAATACTTGCATATAAATAAACAGGTCATTTTCGAGTCATATTCGAGTTGAAATTCTCAACCCTAACCTTACCCGTTTAATTTTCGTGTCGTGTCGTGTCAACCTGTTTTATTTAAACGGGTTGAAATATCTTACCCAAACCCGTTTATTTCGTGTCGGGTTCGTGTCGGGTTTCGTGTCGTGTCAATTTTTGCCACCTCTACCCGTTAATAACTCAACACCCAAGCTTAAAAGAAAGCCCAAAATGCAAAATCTCATCTGACTGAGTACGCTAAGCGTACGCCCACGAAACCCAGTACGCCCCGCAACCAATCCTAGAAAACATCTTAATTCCTTAAGACCTTAGTCCAAACTTCCAGATCTGATTCAAAGAGACTTCTTAAGTCATAAAGTTCCTGTGTTTATGACTTAGCATGACTTAATGAGACCCAAATCAAAACCCTAAGTCCCAAGCTTCACCAAAAGACTACCAAATCATGCATGGAAGGTTTATACTCATCAAGATCCAAACTTTATGACTCTATAACCCCAACAAAGGCCAAATATGAAGCTCAAAGGTTCTGGAGTAACTTCTACTCATAAGAACCACCACAAAGGGACCAAAAATCACCACAAAGTGCTACCTAGCTAGATCTACAAGAAATAGTTGTCAAGGTTGAGACTTTATACCTCCAGAAGTTAGATCTAAGTGAACAAAATCTAGATCCAAAAGCTCCAAGTCAAGCAATGACTCTTCAAGAAGTTCATTCATCCTCCTCAAGCACCAAAAGCACACATAAATCATTTTGAAGCTCAAGAATCACTCAAATGGGGGCTAAGGATCGATTTCTAGGGTTTAGAGGAATGGAGACTGAATATATTAGGGTTAGGTTATGAGATAAAGAGCTTAAATAGGGTCCAAGACTCTAAAATAGGGTTTGGGTCTGATTGGAGTACGCCCAGTGTACTTTTGGTATGCCCAGTGTACTCCTTAGAGCATCAGCGATCATACTGCTCGGTACCTATCAGAAAAAGGGAATGGTGAATAAAAATTAAAAAAGTCCTCATTGGTTGCATCTACCTATATAAAAAATATGGTTATATGCATGAACTAGCAACATACGTTCATTTATATATTTATTAAAGTATCCTACTATCATGTATTCCTGTTAATTGTACTTTGAAATCTAACCATTTATAGTAATATCATCAAAATACAAATAATATTTCACTTCTATAACATCAAATCAAAACACTGTTTATGGTACTTGTAACAGGTGCGGTATTGGTCATGTCCCATCCCAATGTCCAAATCGTGACCCAACCACTATTCGAGCGAGACAACAACCATCTGCAAATTTTATAGATTACCGCTCACAAACATCCACTACTTGGCTTCCGGATACCGGTTCAAGTAATCATGTCACTCCGGATCTCTCGAGCTTTGATCATTCGGAGGCATACCATGGTGATGATAATGTTCATGTTGGCAACGGTAAAGGTTTACCCATTCTCCATATTGGCTCCTCACAGTTTCACTCTCCAAATAAAACCTTTTCCCTTAAACATATACTTCATGTCCCAGAAATTAAAAAAAACCTTCTATCTGTTCAAAAGTTTTGTCATGATAACAATGTTTATTTTGAATTTCACTCTTCTTTTTTTGATGTGAAGGACGAGATTACTCACACTATCTTCCTCATGGGTCCAAGTAATGGTGGTCTCTATTCTTTCCACCTTCCGCAGATTCAACCTATTTCTAAAGTCGCCTTCTCTGTCACCCGTGCTTCCTCCACCACTTGGCATCAACGATTAGGGCATCCTCATCCGCAATTGTTGAAGTCGATGATTTCTAGATATAGTTTACCTTTACTAAATAAATGTGATACTTCTAGTTGTGATTCTTGTTCTATTGGCAAATCCTCAAAACTTCATTTGTCATCTTCTACTTATAAAAGTACGCATATTTTGGATTTACTTTTCTGTGATGTTTGGGGACCCGCTCCCATTGCTTCCTATGATGGTCATCGTTACTTTCTATTGTGTGTTGATCACTTTTCTCGCTTTATGTGGTTTTTTCCTTTAAAATCCAAATCTGATGTCTATGACACTTTCAAAAAATTTCTTGTCACTGTCGAACGACAATTCCAAACCAAATTAAAATCCATTCAAATGGACTGGGGAGGTGAATTTAGGAATCTTTCTCATTTTTTCTCTTCCCTTGGTATTAATCATCGTCTCTCATGCCCTCACACAAGTGAACAAAATGGACTCGTTGAGCGACGTCACCGTCATGTGGTCGAAACTGGTCTTACTTTACTTGCGCAATCTCGTGTTCCACAACATTTTTGGCATTTTGCTTTTGACACAGCCGTTTTATCTCATTAATCGTATGCCATCTCGGACAAATTCCAACATCTCACCTTTTGAACACGTGTTTAATCACAAACCAGATTTTTCCTTCCTTCGGGTGTTTGGTTGTCAATGTTATCCACATCTTCGTCCATACAACAAGCACAAAATGGATTTTCGATCCCTACCATGTGTTTTTCTTGGTTATAGCACTTCTCATTATGGTTATCGGTGCTACGATCCCCTTTCTGATCGGCTTTATATAGCTTGACACGTTCGTTTCCACGAACAATCCTTCCCATACAAAATTATTGCCCCTACCGACCCCATCTTACCCACTCCAAATCCCTATATATCATCTTATCCTACTCCCGATCCTGCCATATCAACAAATACACCACCACCTACAACACCTAACTCGGCACCACCTTCAGCTCCACCATCTCCAACCCAACCCCCTCTTCTATATACCTATCATAGACGCCCCAATACACTTACCCCATCTCATCCAGACATACCTTCTTCTACCCAAACCCTACCACGTTCTCGGCCCTCCAACCTTCACCCTAATCCTAAACCCACTAAACCTTATAATGCCACATCTTACCACACCGAGATCTCCTCTCCTGAAACCGAACCAGCCACCTTTACCGTTGCTAACAAACACCCCCAATGGCGTCAGGCCATGGCAGAGGAATATTCGGCTCTTTTACGAAATGGTACTTGGTCCTTAGTTCCTCGTGTTCCAAATTCTAATGTTGTTGACTGCAAATGGGTCTACAAACTCAAACGGGACCAAACCGGGCTCATTAAGCGTTATAAAGCGCGCCTGGTCGCTAAAGGGTTTCATCAGCAGCAGGGTATTGACTATCAACAAACTTTTAGCCCGATTATCAAATCCACTACCATTTGGGTTGTTCTGTCCTTGGCGGTTGCACAAAAATGGCCCATGCGACAACTTGATGTGCAAAATGCTTTTTTACATGGAAATCTAACCGAGACGGTCTATTTGCAACAACCTCCAGGCTTTGTCGATCCCACAAAGCCTAATCATGTTTGTCTTCTTCATAAGTCCCTGTATGGACTGAAGCAAGCCCCTCGAGCATGGTTTCATCGATTGTCCACCGCTCTTCATGCTCTTGGCTTTACTGGCTCTAAAACCGACCCATCGTTGTTTATCTACTCCTCCAAAGGTGTTCTTTTGTACATGCTCGTCTACATTGATGATATTATCTTAACGGGAAATAGTACGGTTGCCATTGACCGTGTTGTGCAAAGTCTTAGCCGAACCTTTGCTATTCAAGACTTGGGGCCACTGTCATACTTTCTGGGAATTGAAATTATGAAACATAATTCTGATATGCTTTTGTCCCAAAGAAAATATATTCTTGAGCTTCTTCAACGAGCCGGCCTATCCAACGCCAAACCAGTGCCATCACCCATCACTACTACATCTAATCTTGCTCTTGGAGATAGCCCTCAGTTTGACGACCCTGTCAAATACCGCCAGATAGTGGGTGCACTTCAGTATGTGACTCTTTCACGTCCAAATATTTCCTTTGCAGTTAACAAGGTATGCCAGTTTATGCATTCTCCAACTCAAAATCATTGGGCGGCAGTCAAACGAATATTACGATACTTACTTGGCACGGTTACATATGGGCTTTTGATTAAACAAGATTTTGGTTCACGTCTACATGCTTACACTGATGCAACTTTTAATTCTCTTAGTGCCTTCTCTGATTCTGATTGGGCTGGTTGCCCGGATGACCGACGATCCACTAGGGGATATGCTATATATCTTGGGTCTAACCTTGTCTCGTGGTCAGCCCGAAAACAAAAGACTGTCTCTAGGTCATCTACAGAGTCTGAATACAAAGCCTTAGCCGATACAGTTGTTGAACTCACATGGCTTCTAACTTTATTGCATGAACTTCGGGTCCCTACTCGGTCTGTTCCAACCTTGTGGTGTGACAATCTAGGCGCAACATATTTATCAGCCAATCCTGTTTTTCACGCACACACTAAATATGTTGAGGTTGATTTTCACTTTGTTCGGGAAAAAGTTGCCCAAGGACAACTCTCGGTTCAGTTTATCTCCACAAATGATCAGATCGCAGACGTGTTTACCAAGCCTCTACCTTCACATCGATTTCTCTTTTTGCGGTCCAAGCTACAGGTCGCTCCCCGGCCTTAGCTTGCGGGGGGATATTAGACAATATTTTATATATTAGATTCTAGAGGGTTATAGTGTAAATATGTCTATTATATATATTCCTATGTAATCACGTTAATATATAATAATACAATTCAATCTTTTACAAAGTCTATTTGGGTATAATTTTTTGAAGTATAATATTCTAAATAAGAAAAAGAAAAAAAGTACAATGCTATAAATGTGTAAATTTTTCAGTGTAGAATGCCTTAATAAGAAAAAGATAGCTATTTCTTGCATTTATCTCAAACAGTTTAATGGTTTTGCATATCAGGATATACCTCCTCATGGTAATTAGTTGGGATCCCACCCATGTTGTAATGGACAGTAAGGCAAAACTGGAATTGGCTTCTTTGTAACATCAACACCAGCAAAGAGCCAAAGATGGCAGCAATTCCAGAGAAGCAAGGAAGTCTCTTCTTGAGAGCCTCTGGTGGTAGATGACCCAAGTGAAGATACATGTGCTCCTTCATTGTTCCTATTATATATAAGGAAGCAAGATTATTTTGGACAGAAAAAGAAAGATTAAACACATAATTTAACACTGAAAAGGCACGAAAAAGAAATGTCCACTGCCAAGTCCGGCAATTTTTTGAAATCGGATAAGGCTCCAATATTAATACAAACGATAAATGAGGTACTAAATGAAACCATGTTTAGAACTATATCAAGGATTCTTCTGGTATGTGTAGAGTAGTACCTGTATTGTTTTTAAATATAATTTGTTTATTTTTAGCTTATGATTTACTTATTGTCAGATCAATGTCAAAATTGAAATTAAACTAAGATGCATGACCACTAGAAAATAGAGAAAGTACCTGTTAGCTGTGACAATAGTTCTTTGTGAACTGGATTTTCCAGGTCTTTCGAGCTTCTCATAATCATCACACCACTACGTAAAACATCGTTCCACATCTTTGGGTTTCTATCTCAGTTGTAAAACCACATGACTGAAGAAGGTCTGTCGACCCAAAAATATGCAGACCTTTCAACGAAAGAATGCTCTGGGGTAGATGACTTATGCTTGTACCTTCTATATTTAACACTTCTAAACATTCCAAACGTCCAAATTCCTCAGGCAATTTGTCAACTCGAATACAATCTTGGAGATAGAAATATTTTAGACATTTCATCTCACAGATGCTATTCGGGATATCTTGTAAAAATTCACATGTCCATAGGCTTAGCACCTCTAAACATTCTAATTGGCCAAGATCTTCAGGTAACTTCTCAAGCAATGAACAAGAAATATCCAGAGATTTCAGATGTTTCAACATACAGATGCTACCTGGAAGCTGCTTAATCTTTGTATATGACAAATCTAGCTCCTCTAAATGTTCTAATAGGTCAAGATTCTTAGGTAACTCCTCGAGGAGGCAACACCATATAAGTTTGAGGAACTTCAGATGGTTCAACATATAAATGTTTGCCGGAAGACGTCTAATCATTCTAGCAGATGACAAAGTTAGCTTCTCTAAACTTTCTAATTGATGAAGATCATCAGGTAACGTCTCAAGCAACAAACAATATCTAAGTTCGAGGGATTTCAGATGTTTTAAGTTACAAATGCTATGAGGGAGGTGTTTAATATCTATAGACAACAAACTAAGCTCCTCTAGACATTGTAATTGGCCAAGATCCTCAGGTAACCTCTCAAGAAGCCGTAAATCAACAAGTTTAAGAAATTTCAGATGTTTCAACTTACAAATGCTATCTGGAAGATGGTTTGTCTTTGTAGACAACAATATTAGCTCCTCCAGAGATTCTAACTGGTCAATGTCCTTGATCGCCTCTACAAAACTGGCTTTGAGTTCAAGCTTTCTTAAACGTCGTAAACCACAAAGGCTTCTTGAAAACGTCTCAAGGTTTGTGCAAGCACACATACCTACAGAAAAAAGCATCTCAAGATTTCTAGTTAACGAGGGTCGATCTTCTTTATAGACACCGTCAAACCGAAACTTTGGCAAGTTACTTTTGGGGTGAAGCGGGCAACTTTCTAGGGACTCCCCCATCAAACGTAACTCGGCTAAAGGACCAACCTCAACAAATTCATCAACACTACAAGAAGTATTATACTTTATGTTAAACCTAAAAGATCTAAACCTCAAACAACCACTTAAGTCTATGTGGACAAGCTTTTTTAGACATCCAATGGAAGTGTGAAGTTCTACTAATTTACGACACTCTTTGAGATGTAACTTCTTGAGATTTGGAGTCATCCCAAGGTCAAGTGTCTTCAAGTTTGAATGACTAATTTTGAGTTCGGCGAGCTTTTGACATTCATTGGCCATGTGAAGTTCTTCCAAATGATAAGATTTTTCAAGATCTAACTTCTCGAGATTCGGAGTCAGCCCAATGTCAAGGGTCCTCAACTTTGAATCCGTGAGTAGCAAGCGTCTTAGATTTAGACATCTACTGGGAAAATGAAGTTTTTCCAAATAGCTGCATCCAACAAGAATCAACTCTTCAAGATTTGGCGCCAACCCAAGGTCAAGAGTCCTCAACATTGAACAACTGAGGTCAAGGAATTTGAGCTTGTTAAGGACCTAAAATAAGCAGAAAGAAAAATGCATATTGGTATAATAACAAAACAATGTATGTATATCATTATAATGAATCATGCAAAACAATCAACCAACCATAATTTTAAGATTACTTGCTTGAAATGTTGTGGGTAAAGATCTAAAAGGGTAATGGGTCCAATGTAGATATCGTAAACCATTTGGGAAATCTGGACTGAGCATACCAAACTCGAAATCTCTGGAACAATCTCCACTAACAGAAAGAAATCTAAGCTCCTTCATCTTTCTTAGACCTTTTATAAAAATATACGGATTGAATTCCTCAGTGTGGAATCGTATACATCTTGTTGCTTCAGTACCCTGCAATCCAAAAGAAGTCACCATGAAACTTGTGTCATAATAACTATAAATGTGTTGATTTTTCCCAACATACAAATAAACTTTATCCTTACCAAATCATTAGCCAATATATCTTTAATTTCATCGATTTTCCACAATCGGCTATGTTTATGAGGCTTATCGGGGTGCCAACGACGGACAATATTCCTACCCATTTCTACAATATGGTCGTGCATGCCTAGGTAATCATAATTAATAGTTATAAGGGATTTTTGTTGAAGAACTCTTAAACCATTTCTAGCATGAAATCCACAACTTTTGAGCGTTTTGATTGCTTTATCTTTCCGCCAACCTTTCTTGATGCATGCAACATCTAGGAATATTTCCTTGTAATCCTCCTCTAGACATGTATAGCTTAATTCTAATTTTTTCAAAGTTTCCGCTAATGGGATTGTTTTAAGCCTTTCTAAGGCATCTACCCATTCAAGCTTAGTTTTTCCACAAAGAAGTGAACCCAAAACCCTAATCGTCAAGGGAAGACCAGCAGCATAATGTACAACTAGTCTTGATAGCTCCTTGTAACCTTGAACTGGAATCTCTCTCCCAAATACAAACCTACTGAAGAGGCAAATTGCCTCCTTATCTGATAGCAGATTGACATCATGAATGAACTTCACTCGGTGTGCTACCAGCACTTGCTCATCTCTTGTTGTAATGATAATTACACTTCCTGCCTTAAACCAGTTAGGCTCACCTGCTAACACCTCAAGCTGGTCTATATGATCCACATCATCTAGAACAATAAGAACCTTCCTATTAGGCATCATCCTCTTCATCATGTTTTTCGTTTTTCCCTTCATGAACACTACTTACTCTGATGCCTTCATCATTAAAGGCGTCCCGAAGAACTTGTTTTTGCAAAGACTTCAAACCGGACAAAGAAGCATTTGAAACTTCCCTTACATTCTCCACGAAGCTTTTACCTTCAAACCGAAAGGATAGTTGATCAAAGAGAGCTCTTGCTAAAGTTGTCTTTCCAGCACCTCCCATCCCCTTGATCCCGATCATGCGGACATCATCACAACCAATTCCTACTAACTTTTCATCAATGTTGAAACTGATGGAACGTAACTCTAGTGAAATCTCTCCAACTATTCTCTGGATAAATTTAGCTTCATGCCTGTATTTTAAAGAAGATTCAGTTAGCTTACTCAAAATTCCATATGACCGGTCACTTTCAGATCTAGAACATACAACCCCATGTGAAAAACTTGAGTTAAAATTTGACAATCTAAGATACAGTAGATCAAAAAGATTCAAAATACAATATTATTGCAGTGAATGATTGAAGAATTACCCATCAGCAGTCTTCTTCAACTCCCATCCAGCCAGATCCGCTGCTTCTTTCAGAGTCTCTCTCCATTTTTTCCCAGCAAACTCTTCCTTTTCATGTTTTGCAAAGGATTCTGCCACTGCCCCGCTTTGTTTGCGAACTTCCGAGGGTTCCACATCATAGAAGACAGGGTAAGCCGTATGCTCGTTTGTCCCGTGGCACTCCATTATCTTAACAAGTTCATCCACGCACCACGATGAAGACGCATAGTTCTTGGAGAAAACAATGATGTAGAATCTGGAGTCTTCAATGGATCTGATGAGATCATCACTAATCTTTTTACCTTTTTTTATTCTCTCATCGTCCTTGTAAGTATGAATGCTTTTCTGCTGGAGAGCATGATAAAGATGATCAACGAAGTTCGTACGAGTATCTTCACCCCTGAAACTCAAAAACACATCATACTTAAAGCTCTTGTTAACGGATGACGTTGAAGAAGACGCCATTGAAGGTATGATTAAAGGATCCTAAAAAATCAAATCTTTGTTGGGAAATTTAATGCAAAATGATTGCAAAGAAACTTGAATAAGATGAATCATGTAAAGTCAACGTGATGGATTTGTTTGGAAAACCTTTGGAACGGATGGACAAGAATAGACACTCGTTTGGTAAAAAAATAATAATAATAATAATAAAAAAGACTGTATGTTTCATAATTATACATAAATGGTCCCTGTGTTTTGTCAAAAGTCACATCTTCAGTCCTTAACCTTTTTTTTATGTGAATGGTCTTTGTGTTTCAATTTCTTGACTTCTTGTCGCTTAGTCGTCCATGTAATTTACGAGTTTTATATCCTTTTCTATTTTATTTTAACTTTTGTATATGTTTTATTTATAAAAAATTATTTTTTAGCATAAAATCTAATTAAATTAAATTGTTATATATATAGGACCCACCCAAACCCCACCAGGCATCCCTCACTTCAACATGTTCAAAAATATGCAAATTGATTTTGCAAAAACATAAAACCACATATTGAACCTAGCAAAACCATATTTAATCGAAATAGAACCCAAAAACAAGATCGAAATGGAACCCAGCAAAACCATTTCAATAGAAATAGAACCAAAAATACTAGATGGTTATGAGACGGAAGTACGCATTCTAATTAAAAAAAATAAATAAATAAATAAATAAATAAATAAAAAAACCAAGACACCTTGAACAAGATACAAGGAATATAAAGAATCCAGATGCTGATGAGAAACCCCATTTATTTTTGTTCATCTATATATTTTAGTCTAATGAAAAAAAAACCTTGAAAAAGAAGCAAGCTCACTGGTGACCGACAAATCAAGTGGCGGCGACACTGGAGCAAGGGATGGTGAATGGCAAATCGATTGTGCGATGGTGATCGGCAATGAAGCTGTGACGATTAGGGAATCAAGAGGTGACGTCGACGAAGCAACATGAATCCTGCAATTGCCTTTCTTTATGATGCAACATCTCGTTCAAGTTTGGGCAATATTCGAATCTGGATGATAGAAACCGGGTTAGCGTCAAAGCATCCCCTTTCCTCCAATTTTGTCTATCACTCTTTGTATTTCCCGTTTAGGTTTCTTCGTCGTCTGTCGTCTGTCGTCGGGGTTTTTCAGATTGGACGATTCCCAATCACTGCTTTCTTGAACATTTCTTCAACACACACTGATACACACATAGTGAAGGTTTCTCCGTCGTTTGCCATCAGGGGTGTTGCTATTCACACCCGAATTTTGGGTCAAAACCATATTTTGAAAAAAGTGAAAACCACGTTTACTTCTTAAACCCGAATTGACAGGACTTTTATAATTATTATTGTCTACCTACATTTCAAACTTTATTTTGCATAATATTTTTGATTTTCCTTTTTTTTCTTTTTAAGTCTAATCAATGTTATATATAATCCCACATTTTACCCATTCTTTATATTTTTTGTTTTATAATCTATTATCAAAGATTAAATAATTTTAACATTTTTACCCCTTCTTATAGTTAAAACATATTTTCAGTTTATACCCTTTTTTATTTAAAAAAAAATTACTTTCATTCCTTATTACTTCAATTTAGTATATATTGATATTTCAACTTTTTAACACACACATATACACACGAATGCTCCCTATGGTTTGGGGTAATCTACGAATTTGGTCCCTAATTTTTTTTTTCTTAACTCGGACGGTCCTTATTACATCTTTTTGTTGTGCGGTTAGTCCGACCTAAAAAGACTGTTATGTCCTTATTAACTATTTTAATTAATTTTTTATTTACAAATTATTTATAAAATTTAAAGATAATAAGACTCCCTTCCCCTTCCATTTATCTTCATCACTATGAAATTGACCTCCACCCTTTTATTTAATGTCTTTTTTTATTTTTTGAATATAAACAAATCGAAATATGATATTTTTCGTATTAGGCAAAACTAATAACTATATTTACATTTATTGTCCTTTAACTTACCCTATATTTACAATAAATACCCTATCTTTATTTCAGTGCAGTATAAATGAATCCCACTACGTTCAAATCAAAATAATATAACTACATTTACATTTATGTCCTTTAACTTACCATGCATTTACAATAAATACCCTATCTTTATTTTAGTGCAGTGTAAATGAATACTGATTACGATCAAATCAAAATAATATAACTATCTTTACATTTATAGTCCTTTAATTTACCCTACATTTACAATAAATATCCTATCTTTATTTTAGTGCGGTGTAAATGAATACCGATTATGTAAGTGTATTATGTTTCAGAAGTTATTACTTACTTGAAGAAAATGTGGTTGACATAATATAAAGAAAAGTTTGTATTTGTTTGGACCGATGTATTTCTCCATTTTGGGAATTACACAACCAATAGAGTGGAGAGTCACCATGCCAAAGTAAAATTATACTTGGGCTCATCACAATCAGATTTAGCGACAGTATTACCAAGAATTCATGATGCTGTTCAGTCACAAGACTATGCTATCAAAGCAAGTTTAGGACAAAACATGATTATTGCACGACATCGTTTCATCCATCTAATTTTCAGATATTTGGTTGGTAATGTTTCAATTTATGCACCTGAAATAATTTTCAAGGAATTTGAACAAATCAAATTCCTTGAAATTTGTGGATGTCAAATGCGTACTAGTCACGAGCTACCATGTGCGCACGAACAAGCGGTATATTTAAAAAATGAAAATCCAATACCATTTGATTCCATTCATAACTTTTGGAAAAAATTTAATTTAGATCCATGCATCCGAGTGGAAGATGATGATGTTGATGTTGAAGGTCAAACGTCTAACACACAGTTGAAAAAACAATCAAGATCTAGTAAGTTTAGTTGGGTGCGGAAGTTAAAATGTAACGACGTGAAAATTAGAACAAATTTTCATTTTTCAAACAAAACATGTCTCATACAAATCATCTCAAAACTCAAGTGTATCAAATGTTATCACGGTAAAAACATATCCCATAATCTCAAATACAAAATCCTCTATCAGTGTGTACAAATCATGCCGGTGCCTTCCCGCGATCCTCGCTAGTACCTGTAACACATATCACATAACACGGTAAGCATAAATGCTTAGTGAGTTCCCCAAAATACCACATACAGCACATAAGCCACTCGAGGCTATAACTCGGTAAGACCCTCCGGTCAATGTGTCTCAGCGGGACCCTCCAGTCCTGTAGCTCGTTGGACCCTTCGGTCTGGTCTGATCCAGGACCCTCTGGCCTCATGAGTCGTTGGACCCTCTGGTCCGGTCTATATAACACATAGCATACATATAACACAATGCACATAAATCTCAAACATACACATACACATAAGACCCTCTGGTCTGCACATAGATACCATTCAAGGTAATGTATAGTGAGAAGACTCACCTCGTATGATATCTAGTAACTCACGTGCTCGATATCCCCGAACTCGAAACAATGACCTAGCTCCCGCCTAATTACATAAAGTAATTACCTCAAATCAATAACGGCTCTCAAGGCTAGACAAATCCCTTCCTATGTTCCCTCGGAAGGCTAAAAGATCATTTTACCCCTCTAATGGTCCAAAAGTCCAAATGTTGACCAAACCCTAAAAGTCAACGAAAGTCAACTGTACGGAGTTACACTGCGCGTACCAGCTCTGTACGCGGGGCGTACTCCGCGGTCATCCAGAATCGGGGTACTCGACCCCCTACGCGGCGCGTACTGGGATTTACACTCGGCGTAAGTCCCAGTTTCATACTCTTAATGGTTTTTGGTCTGAAACGGTTAAGACACAAGCTCCTATTCCAGATCTAGTCCTTCTAATGCCTCATAACCCATAAAGTCGAAGCCTTTAAGCCTTTGCATGGCTGTAAAGGTCACCAATCACTCCAAACTCTTATCCTCTTTCCTCATTAAGCTCTTATCTCATGCATGACTCAATATTAACGATCAAGATTGGATTTTTATAGATCTACAACACATTTTATACTGAAATGGGGCAGATCAAGGCTTATGGAGACCATTTACTCATAAAGTCTCCATCTTTGGGACAAAAACCCTAAAAATGGTCCATAATGCACAAATCCAAAAAGGTTAAGAAAGCTTTGAGCTTTTTAACTCCAAAAGAAGCTCCAACCTCTAAAAAGCTCAGATCCAAGGCTTGCACTTCAACTCTAGCTTCTACAATGGCCCTTCTTCTCTTTAAAATCTCATAAGAACACTTTATCAAGCTCAAACACACACACACACACACAAGCTCTAAAACGAAGGCTTAGCTCTTTAGGGTTTCACTCACTGGAAATGGTGGCTGGGATGGAGGCCATAACATTCCTTTTATAGTGCTCAAGTCTCATTTAGGGTTTCATGTCTGAGCCCAGTACGCCCAACATACACTATGGTACGCCCAGCGTACTGGGTAGCATTCGCGTCAAGAGTACGCTCAACGTACTCTTCAGTACGCCCAGCGTACTCATTTGCTACAATATTCTTCCATGGGCTAGTTTTGACAACTTGGAAAAGAAGAGGGATTAAATAGTTATACCTGATTTCTGGATGTTACAATTCTCCCTCACTAGAATCAGACTTCGCTCCCGAAGTCTCATTCAGCAAATAACTCTGGATGTTGCTCCCGTATCTCCGACTCCGGCTCCCAAGTCAGCTCGGACCCTCTCCGATTTTGCCACTGGACCTGAACCAGAGGCACCTCCTTGTTCCTCAGAACCTTGATCTTCTGATCCAAGATCGCAATCGGCCTCTCAATGTAATTCAGACTCGCATCCACCTGAATATCCTCTAGCGGCACTACTGCCGTCTCATCGGCTATACACTTCCTCAACTGGGATACGTGGAAAGTATCATGGATCTGGCTCAACTCCGCAGGTAGCTCTAAACGGTACGCTACCTTGCCCACTCTAGCGGTCACCCTGAAAGGACCAATGTATCGGGGCCCCAGCTTGCCCCTCTTCCTGAATCGGATCACTCC